ATGAACAGGCATATTTATTATTATTACAGTGTATATAGAACCATCAGTTTCCTAGCATAAAAAGATCCTCTGCTGCGTGTGACATTTCCAACCCACATGACTCTAGCCATGCCATCTTTGCTATTTGATCATAATCAAGGTCAGCACTTTTTGCTCTTCAAGCTATACTTATTTTGAAAATTTCCCTAAAAATGATAAATGGTTTTGTCCAAATTGAAAGATGGACCTGTCCATTTGTGATATTTAGTGTGGTAAAGGTAAACAAAACGATGATAGGTCTCCATGCATACTTGCCTCCAAGAAAGTGGAGGCTGTTAATTATATTGTAAGCTTTTAGCTACTTTATAATTAATACAATTTCATTTATTTAACAAAGTAATGGTTGAAGGAACTCCACTGAGGTCTGAAAGCCTAAAAATACAAAATCTCAATTTCTTATGTAGTAGATCAGCTGGGGCGATAACATGAAATAGACTAGTCAATCCATAGCTTTTTACTAAAAGCCATTAAAAGGGCTTAGGCCTCTTCCTAATCAAGAGGGAAAAACCCCTGCAATCAAAATCTTAAAACAAGAATATCATAGTCTGACCAATGATGTAAACCTGACAAATAACAACCATATGAATAAAGGTATCAAATATTCTCTCAATAAAATTATGACGAAACAAAACTAAAGTGGTAATTATGACTGAAAGAAGTTTGTGTACAAAAGGTGGCTTGAGACTCTTCAAAAATACCGTAATAATTCTATTTAGCGCCCATCCTCTAATAGACGCCCACCCCCCATATTTTAGACAAAAAACGGCCATTTTTCAGCCCAAACTTGAAAAATTAACTGCCCCTTTTAAACGCCCATCCCCCGATTTGAGTACAGTTGAGCTTACCTTTACAATTCAAGTTTCCTTATTTCCGTTTTCACGTAGGAACAAACTTCCCTTTTTTGTCTTTTTTTCCGTAAAGTTTATATGTACACGGTATTTAAATGCCACCACCTTTTACAAAAGTTCCTTTTTATGACGAACGCGGTTCTCCAAGTATTTTGGCACTGATTTCTACAATAAGTCCATCTTTGAATAATTTTGTAAGAGGCTGACATAATCCCTCCGGTATATGTCCAACAAGAGATCCATTATTTTTTACGATAATTGCGCTATCACTATGTTCATTTTCTGGTTCCAAATTACATATAATTACATGAAGTATAGTTCCGACTGGGCATGTATATTTGTAAACGTGATATCCCTTAATAACAGATTTTATAGACACAAGCATAGGTGTTGCCATAATTCAATGTGTTTTGTGTATAAGAAATATATACATGTATAAAAAATAACCATTCCGAGATGCCAAAACTCACGCGCCTATTTCATTACGTCAGCAAGGTCAACGTGCGTGGTTCAATGTATTGGGGCCCAACATGGGAGATTAGTTCTGATTAAAATTATTTTGAACAATAGCGATTGTCTTTTTATATCAAAATCCGGGCACATCAATCCCTTTAAGAACATATATGCTTGTGTCAGTAAAATCGGTCAGAACTATTCTTACTTTTTTTAACAATTATATTGGCGGGTAAAAAATGCATAATGATCGGACTTGAAATATTACATTGACTTTTTGAATTGTATAGAACATCCCAGATTACAGAGTTAATTGGTAACCTTACATAAATATTTCGTTGGGAAAAATCATAATATTTTTGCAGTAAAAATGCCTGAGGCTCATTTTTTATTCCCGTGCTTGGATACCGGACTCTACATGCACGGTATTAAAGTGCGGAAAAGAACAGACTTTAGCCGGTACGTTACGATACCGAAATCGACTTTAGCGTTGTCTGCAATTATAAATCAACATCCGCTCTATCTTCGGATTCGATTTCTTCTTATAGTTATGAGGGGCGAGTGGATTTATAAAGCCTTGCTTAGAAAATTAGTTTGTCTTATGAAGATGCGTCTCCAATTAACGCCCATCCCCAACTTTCGAAAAGTCTATGATTCTAATAAAAGCCCGGGCGCTAAATAGAATTATTACGGTAATTTATTACATTTTCATTGTAATTTACCATCCTCTCTACTGCAGAATTAATAATGAAACATTATTTCAAGAAGAATTTCGAAGCTTAATATTTTATATTCCTCAAGTAGAAGGAACGATTTTCATGCACTACTAGAATTCACTGAATAATTCATCACGCACTTGCATATTGTAGCTTAAGGAATCATTTAAAGTTACTAGAGAACTCATTCTAGAAAAAAAAACAAATTCTTTGAAAACAAGGCACTGTCATTACAAAGATCTGCAGCCATGTTTTCCTATATTTCATCCAGAAAAGATGCAAAAAAACACCAAAATTTTGTGTGGCAGTAAATGATTGATAACTCAAGATTATGGCAAAGTAAAAACATCAAGGAGAATTATTTTTCAACTCCAGAGATTTCTACTCCTATTAAAGTCAGCGAAAGAAATCAAATAAAAGAGAATAATATCATTTATGTCAGAGTTCAATATGCATCATTTGTTATCAGATGCTTGTTAAACAAATAAGAGGGTTGTTGTTGTTGTTTTCTATTTCAGAAGGCCACATTGGAAATAAGATATATATGATTGCTATTGTATGTTCTTAATGTGTAACCTTCTTTAAACTAGACCTATCACTGAAGGTGATTAATACCCCCACCAGCAACTTGAACTTTTGGAAAAAAAAGTAGTCTGAAAAAAAATTTGAACACAAACTATCAACTGTGTACAAAGAAATATTTCAATTAATTGTAATCGCATCTGGGGTCTCGAAATAAGCTTGCTATACACCAAGTTTGATTACAATATCTCATTCCTAACTCTAGTTATTGTCCGAAAACCATTTTTCTATTTTTAGTAACACTGTAACGGTGACCTTGACCCTAGGGGGTCCAAATGCAATACCAACCCAGGTCTTCATATAAGCTTCCTATACACCAAATTAGATTACAATATCTCATTCCAAACTCTAGTTATTGCCCGAAAACCATTTTTCTATTTTTAGTAACGGTGACCTTGACCTTGACCCCAGGGGGTCCAAATGCAATACCAACCAAGGTCTTCATATAAGCTTGCTATACACCAAGTTTGACAACAATATCTCATTCCTAACTCTAGTTATTGTTCGGAAACCATTTTTCTATTTTTCTTAACGGTGACCTTGACCTTGACCCCAGGGGGTCCAAATGCAATACCAACCCAGGTCTTCATATTAGCTTGCTATACACCAAGTTTGATTACAGTATCTCATTCCGAAGTCAAGTTATTGTCTGGAAACCATTTTTCTATTTTTTGTAACACTGTAACGGTGACCTTGACCCAAGGGGGCCCAAATGCAATACCAACCAAGGTCTTCATATAAGCTTGCTATACACCAAGTTTGATAACAATATCTCATTCCTAACTCTAGTTATTGTTCGGAAACCATTTTTCTAGTTTTCTTAACGGTGACCTTGACCTTGACCCCAGGGGGTCCAAATGCAATACCAACCCAGGTCTTCATATTAGCTTGCTATACACCAAGTTTGATTACAGTATCTCATTCCTAAGTCAAGTTATTGTCTGGAAACCATTTTTCTATTTTTTGTAACGGTGACCTTGACCCCAGGGGGCCCAAATGCAATACCAACCAAGGTCTTCATATAAGCTTGCTATACGCCAAGTTTGATAACAATATCTCATTCCTAACTCTAGTTATTGTCCGGAAACCATTTTTCTATTTTTAGTAACAGTGACCTTGACCTTGACCCCAGGGGGTCCAAATGCAATACCAACCAAGGTCTTCTTATAAGCTTGCTATACACCAAGTTTGATTACAGTATCTCATTCCTAAGTCAAGTGATTGTCCGGAAACCATTTTTTCTATTTTTAGTAACGGTGACCTTGACCCCAGGGGGCCCAAATGCAATACCAACCCAGGTCTTCATATAAGCTTGCTATGCGCCAAGTTTGATAACAATATCTCATTCCTAACACTAGTTATTGTCCGGAAACCATTTTTCTATTTTTAGTAACAGTGACCTTGACCTTGACCCCAGGGGGTCCAAATGCAATACCAACCAGAGTTTTCACATAAGGTTGCTATATACTAAGTTTGATTACAATACCTCATTCCAAACTCTAGTTATCGTCCGGAAACCATGATGTGGACCGACGAACGGACTGACCAACTGACCGACCGACAAGCTGACTCCTATATACCCCCCCTAAACTTCGTTTGTGGGGGTATAATAAAGATATTATTATTATTATTATTATTATTATTATTATTATTATTAGGGTCTTAGAACACTAAAATAATTTGACAAAGAGGGTCTGACAATACTAAATACCGGTAGTTTGACACAACAGTACTTAAGGTTTATCAAATAAAACCTTTTGAGGTTTATCAGAAAGTATCGCCTTTTGAGGTTTATCAGAAAGTATCGCCTTTTGAGGTTTATCAGAAAGTAAAGCCTTTCAAGGTTTATCAGAAAGTAAAGCCTTTCGAAGTTATATCAGAAATTATAGCCTTTTGAGGTGTATCAGAAAGTATAGCCTTTTGAGGTTTATCAGAAAGTATAGCCTTTTGAGGTTTATCAGAAAGTATAGCCTTTTGAGGTTTATCAGAAAGTATAGCCTTTCGAAGTTATATCAGAAATTATAGCCTTTTGAGGTGTATCAGAAAGTATAGCCTTTTGAGGTTTATCAGAAAGTATAGCCTTTTGAGGTTTATCAGAAAGTATAGCCTTTTGAGGTTTATCAGAAAGTATAGCCTTTTGAGGTTAGCCTTTTGAGGTTTATCAGAAAGTATAGCCTTTTGAGGTTTATCAGAAAGTATAGCCTTTTGAGGTTTATCAGAAAGTAAAGCCTTGTGAAAAAAACAACAGTGTCTGACACACTATATAAACAACATATACAACAAAGAATTTAAAAGTTCCTCAATTCATACAATTACTGTGATAAATTTACATAATGTTAGAGTAAACAGTAAATATTTTTACCGATTTTCCTTATTCCATCTCTGAAATAATTGTCCTTGTCTTCAGCTAGTCTATGACTTGAACGAGTCTCTAACTGTATACCTGTGTCCGAGGTCGTAGAACTCTGAAAATATTATCATATTATTTATTTCATTATTTTGTTTCTTCTTCACGTTGTGTTTTAAGTCACATGAACAATATATTATGGTCAAATGGCGACTTTTCAGCTTTACTGATGGAGGAAGACGTCAGATGCTCGTCTGACTGCATTATTTCAGACAAAGCAGGCACCTCTGAAAATATTATCAAGTTATTTATTTTATTATTTTGTTTCTTCTTCCGCTAAACCGTTACCTGATACAGGTTTTCCTTAAGCACCGGTATTCAAACAGCAGATAATAATGTCTGATATGCAAGAATTACATGTACACATCAGTGGATTATACAACAAGAGCTGTCACAGGAGACAGCGAAGCTCGACTAATAAAATACTGGACGCAGTAAGGAGGACAAAACTATGAAAGAAAAATCAATTATGTATAATTATGTATTAAGTTATAGTAAAAAAATAATATTTGTTAACATAAATTCCAAGATCAAGGGGAATAATTCTAGAAATAGTCATGCTAGAGTTATGGACCTTGTCACACAACATTTGTGTAATGATAAGAAATATATATTTGAAGTTTGAAGTAGATACCTTAAAAAGAAAAGAAGTTATTATATTTCTTAAAGAAAATCCTAAGTTCAAAGAGAGATAAATCTGTAAATATTGCATCAAGAGTTATGAACAATGTCACATAAAATGTAATTGTTGATAAGGAATAAGTATTTGAAATTTGAGGTAGATACCTTTAAAAATAAAAAAGTTATAATAAAAAATAACATTTTTCTAGTAAAAAAATCTAAGTTTATGGGGAGATAATTCTTGCAATATTGGTGCTAGAGTTATGAACCTTGTCACATAAGATGTGGATGATGATAACGTAAACATATTTGAAGTATGAAGTTGATCCCTTTAGAAATAAATAAATAACAGTAAAAAAAATATTTTTTATGGAAAATTCTAAGTTCAAGGGGAGATAAATCTGAAAATATTGGTGCTAGAGCTATGAACCTTGTCACATAAGATGGGGATGATGATAACGTAAATACATTTGAAGTATGAGGTTGATCCCTTACGAAATAAAGAAGAAACAGTAAGAAATAGTACTTTTTGAGGAAAATTCTAAGTTCAAGGGGAGATAAATCTGAAACTATTGGTGCTAGAGTTATGAACCTTGTCACATAAGATGGGGATAATGATAAGGTACATATATTTGAAGTATGAGGTTGATCCCTTAAAAAATAAGGAAGTAACAGTAAACTAGAACTGTGTCCAAAGGACACGGATGCCCCCACTGACAACATATATATGGTATATAGTGAATAAAATCAACAAAGGGCCATAATTCTGTTAAATTTGGTCGCAGCAAAAATTCCTTCCTTTACTACCATCTACACATTAAGGTTGTTCATCCCTGGAAGTTTAAGCAAAATCTGCCATCTGGTTTAAGAGGAGTTGCGTTCACAAAATTTCTATATGGTATATATAGTGAAAAAATCAACAAAGGGCCATAATTCTGTTAAATTTGGTCACAGCAAAAATTCCTTCCTTTACTATCATCTACACATTAGGGTTGTTCATCCCTGGAAGTTTAAGCAAAATCTGCCATCCGGTTTAAGAGGAGTTGCGTTCACAAAATTTCTATATGGTATATAGTGAAAAAATCAACAAAGGGCCATAATTCTGTTAAATTTGGTCACAGCAAAAATTCCTTCCTCTACTACCATCTACACATTAGGGTTGTTCATCCCTGGAAGTTTAAGCAAAATCTGCCATCCGGTTTAAAAGGAGTTGCGTTCACAAAATTTCTATATGGTATATAGTGAAAAATCAACAAAGGGTCATAATTCTGTTAAATTTGGTTGCAGCAAAAATTCCTTCCCTTACTACCATCTACACATTAAGGTTGTTCATCCCTGGAAGTTTAAGCAAAATCTGCCATCCGGTTTAAGAGGAGTTGCGTTCACAAAATTTTTATATGGTATATAGTGAAAAAATCAACAAAGGGCCATAATTCTGTTAAATTTGGTCGCAGCAAAAATTCCTTCCTTTACTACCATCTACACATTAAGGTTGTTCATCCCTGGAAGTTTAAGCAAAATCTGCCATCCGGTTTAAGAGGAGTTGCGTTCACAAGATTTCGGGACGTACGGACAGACGGACGGACGGACGTACGGACGGACAGACGGACGGACAAGTGCAACGCTATATGCTCCCACTGTGTGGGGGCATAAAAATAGTATTATTTAAGGAAAATTCTAAGTTCAAGGGGAGATAAATCTGAAAATATTGGTGCTAGAGTTATGAACCTTGTCACATATGATGTGGTTGATGATAAGGAACATATATTTGAAGTTTGAAGTTGATACCTTAAGAAATGACAAAGTTATAGTGAAAAATATTTTACTGCACCAAAACTTTAATCTAAAATCTGGACGCGGACGCCGACGCCGGGGCGAGTAGGACAGCTCTCCATATACTTCGTATAGTCGGGCGAGTAGGACAGCTCTCCATATACTTCGTATAGTCGAGCTAAAAAGAACTTGCATGGGAAACTTCAACAAGAAAATTTTCACAAAGGAGAAAAAATTCTGAACAAATCCATGCAAGAGTTATGGGCCATTGAGACAGTGACGTTCAATTACAATTCCAAAGACAGATAATGGTTGCATTAAATTTGAAAATAAAATTGACAAAATTTGTATGAAAGAAAGAAGACACACATTCAGCAAAGACATTTTAGGTTGCATTGAATTTGAAATAAAATTGGCATAATTTGTATGAAAGAAAGAAGACACAAATTCAGCAAAGACATTTTAGGTTGCATTGAATTTGAAATAAAATTGACAAAATTTGTATGAAAGAAAGAAGACACAGTCACATTCAGCAAAGACATTTTAGGTTGCATTAAATTTGAAAATAAAATTGGAATAATTGTATGAAAGAAAGAAGACACACATTCAGCAAAGACATTTTAGGTTGCATTTAATTTGAAAATAAAATGACAAAATTTGTATGAAAGAAGGAAGGCACACATTCAGTAACCCATATAGTTGCAATAACATCACAACACACTGACACATTTTACTGTGATGACAACAGTGTTTTTACATAATTATCTTCACTGAGCCAATTCTCGGAAGATTTCATCTGTCTATTCCCCCTGATTAAAAAAAGGCAATCAGGCTAACACTATTATAATATTTGTTTCTTGTCTTGTCTGAGATAGAAATATTACCCACAAATGACAATGCAACACACTAATGGACAAAAGTTCAGGCACAATACATATTTGGATTGATATGCAAAGGGACATATTAAGGATTACTCACAATTATACAAAGCAAATTGTACATATTAAGAAAATAATGTTTATCCACTTACAAAAATGGGACAAAATAAATGTTATCCTGAAACTTCATGGTGCATTTCCCATCACAATAGATTTAAGTCAACCTAATTTTCGAAGCTATAACTGCAAAAGTTTGTTAGTTGACCTAACAAATTTAAACTGGGAAAAACCCAAAATATTCTTAATTCCGTAGTAAGTCTATTGTCATCCACAATACAATTCAATATACAAAGGGACATAACTGTAAACCACACAGTTATATAAAGGGACATAATAATTACCCACAATATAAAACATAATATATATAGGGACATAAAAAATAAAAAATATATAATAAAGGGACATAAGCGCTATGGCCCATAATACAATGAAATGCAATGAAAAATAAGGAAACGAAAAATCCACATCTACCTTAAAGGATTAAAGTCGTCAGTATTCCTTTTGTTCTGTTAAACAATAAAGTCAATGCAATATTAATGTATAATAGAGTTTTGGCTAGACACTGGTGTAGACATTAGATTGATATCTCTTTGATTAAGTTATTTGTCTATAGTTTTCAAAGGAATTCCTGATGGGAGGCTTACATATCGTCACCTTAGTGCATTAATGGGTAAAGTTCTTCTAAATTTAATAGCAGTAAATCAGTTATTGCACTAAGGTGACAATATGACGTGTTAAAGTCTTCCGTGAAATCTTTTTTTACTTTGTCTTTAATATACTTTAAAGTGTTTTCCAATGGTCATGCTTTCTTAATCATTTAAAAATGAAGTATAATGAACTGGTCCCAGAACTGCATGAAATAAAGTCTCTAAAATCATTATTATGCATTCAAATAATACCTTACCAACTATTATATGATTTGGCCTTTTGACAGCAGAAATTTCAACATCAGCACAAGTTAAATTTACTAATTGATTTTCAAAGTTACATTAACCATAGGTATCTAATTTCACTTTTCGGTATTATTGCAAAACATTACCAGTGAAACAACAGTTACTGTGCTTTATTACAGTTATACCATATCAATATTGACCTGATTTTGGAACCCCTCTGTGATGACAATTCTAGTTATTAATGCAAGGCTTAGAGCTTCTAAATTTACATTGATTTTTCAAATAAAATATCTCCCATGACAGTTACAGTTCAGGAAGACAAAAATTTGTTTCACTATCACATCATGTTATCAATTCATAGAAGAATATTATTTTCACCATTAAAGGAAATCCACTGAGGTACCAAAGCCTTAAACATAAAACTTCTTACAATAGATCAACTTGGATACTTTAAAAGATAATTATGCAAATGATAACTAGAAGGGTTTTTGTCACAAAAACATATGTCTCCCAAAACTATTTATGGTCACTCATGCAAAGTTTCATTAAAATCCCACCAGTAGTTTGACCTGTGAAGGCTGGACAAGATTTTTCTATTTTTAGCTCTTAAGTGGCCATTTTGTTCAGCGAGGTGATGTGCACAACTAAGTATGGTACTCAGATCACTCCTGTAAAGGTTTGGTTGAAACCGATCTGAAGAGGAAAAATTGAATAATCTCAAAAAATCCTTTCCAGCCCCGTCAAAAAACCTTAGTAGAGTCCCTTATATATTCTTCAGTCTCAGACTGTATCTAAGATACAGTTATGTGGCAGCTTTCCGGCAGTTATGACTT